TTTCCATGAGATTTTCTTTATTTTTTTAACAAAGTTAAAAATTTTTGCCAGCCTCGTCGTTCCGCGTTTAAAGATGTTTCACCTCATTTTTTCCCCTTTCTCTTACCCAGACGGCTCCCTAACACGTTCACTGCATCATCAGCCTTCCTCCGCCTGCCCTCACTCTCATGGGAACCCACAGCTCACACCTCAGCCCCCTCCGCAAGGCGAGTTCGTCATTCCCCACACCTTTCATGCACCGCTGCCATCCCACCCTTCGGGCCACGCCGTGCCCCCTGCCCCTCCCCCTCCCCTGTCCACCCACCACCTCTCTACTTCAAGTGCCCCACTGGCCCAGCATCTTCCCACGGACCACCAGACCCTGCCGCACCATTTGCCGGCGCTGGGGGCTTCGGTGCAGAGGCTCCATCAGCACGAGATGCTGCAGAGGATGGAGGTCCAGAGGCGCAGGATGATGCAGCACCCAACGTGAGTACTGCCGTCCTCCAGCACAGATTGAAGACACAAGAGTTGTTCTTTTTGGAACCTGAGTTTTACTTTTCTTTGCAGACGAGCACACGAGCGCCCGCCGCCCCACCCCCACAGAATGCACCCCAACTACGGCCACGGACACCACATCCATGTGCCACAAACTATGTCTTCCCATCCTCGCCAGCCTGAGCAGAGAACAGCATGGTCAGTACCCGGCAGCCACGAGGCTCGCAAACTGTTGGTTTTAGCGTTAATTCCACCCAAGTTTCCTATCAGCAAATCCAATATTATGAATGTTTAATGCGACTGTGGTTCCTCAGTTTTATCTTCAGGCCTGGTAGAGAAAGTATTGATGTAATAATGACTCATCACTGTTTACCAACAGGGAGCTCGGCATCGAGGCTGGAGTAACCGTGGCACCGTACGCTTCGGGGCATCTGCACTCCCACCTGCCCCACTATCACCCTCCCCCAAGACTGCACCACTTCCCTATCCCCTTCATGGTGAGAGGAACCCTCAGAACACATGCATCCATTAGCATACATGAAAACGAATCACTTTCGTATGAAGTCTGGCTAAGATTAATGGTGTTGGACCCTTATTTATAACATCAGTTATTTCAAGGATGGTTTAGTGAACCACATGAATAATGCATCAGCAATTAATAGTGGCTCATCAAGCATTTCAAGTGCACACTCAACAAATCCAGAATCCTTGAGACACATCCAGGGCGAATACAGTCGGCAGGTTCCTGACGTTATTATTACATTGTTATTGTAGAGTTCATCATTTTAAATCGTATACATCTGTGGCCTTCGTCGATACGGATTCGCCTCGCAAGCACTTCAGAAAAATAAATACTTATCTTAAAATTCAACTTCACAAACACCACATGGACATCTTTCTCAGAGAACAGCAAGTGTTCTTCACATAGAATACAACTCTGGGAAGATGTACACATGAATCCAAATGAAAGACTGTACTCAGAAGTAACCTGTTGTGCATCTTCTGCTTCCCTCCTCGCAGCACACTGGCATATCTGAAGTGACCTACCCGCACATTAGGTACATCTCATCTAGAATGACTGGTTTTGGAAGAACCTATGAGGTGAGGACCGCTTCTGTTTGTTCCTAAATGAGTAAATGTAAAGCCAGGGGACAGATACGGCAGATATACAAATGACAGTTTCGTTTACCGCTGCTGACGTTACTGTTAACTTTATATGAGCTTGACTTTCATCGTTATTTTGATCCTGTCGAAAATAGGACGATTGTTGGTTTGTTAGTAGTCAAAATGTGTGCAGCAATTCAATAGACACGCCCCAGAAAGGAAGAGAAAGGGTGAGTGTTTATACGAGGAAAGTCTATAGTTCTATAGTGTGAATGCAAGGTTTGTTTTTTCTCCCAAAATATTTTTATTGAGGAAAGTAATGGGAAACAACAACGAGAAATACAATCCACTTTTCCTTTTCTTTCTTTTTTGACAACATACATTCATACATGTAGATACGCAGGCATGAATGCATACGAGCACAAATATATGCCAACATTTAATCACACACATGCACATAAGAGCAAAACAAACCCCCCTCCCATCCCACCTCAACTCAGCACAACATGACCAACGTACAATATTGGCCATGCAAAATATATGAGACACAAACAGTTCGGGAATGTCAACGCAAGGTTCTTAACTCATTAGCTTTTTTTTTTTTCTTCGTTCAAGAACCCCAATTCACTGTCCGCCGCTATAGCTCACCTGGTTGAGCTGGCGACCCACGTACAGGGGCTATAGTCTCCATGGGTTCAAATCCCGCTCACGGCCCTTTGCTGAACCCCTTCCCCCATTTTTCTACCCCACTTTCCTGTCTCTCTTTCAACTGTCCAATCCAATAAAAGCAAAAAGGCCAAAAAAATGAAAAAAAGAACCCCAACTCACTATTATTAGATTCATTTTAGTTTAAAGCAATCTTCTTTTTCATTTTTCTCTCAATATAGTGGTATAAAAGTGCACACAATTACAATTATTTGGCAGATTCTGCACATATCCATGTGTGATAAAAGGCAAAATCTGGGTTAGAAGACGAGGAGGAAAGTATGTAAAACAAATCATAAACATACGTACATCTGCCGCTGGGATTAACACTGCCTCTTATTTATTCCACACATTCGCCCGACCTCAGGCTCCTTCGACGCCTCAGTCACACACAGCTTCATGTGTTGCAGGATGCAGGACAGCCAGAGCTCAGTTATATGCAGAGCAGGTTGGCCGTTAATTGCGAAGTTTGACCCCCTGAGCTCTGGTCTGCATGTCAGAGTGTCCTTGAACAAGATGCTAAATCCCAAATCGCTCCCAAAAAACGTGTGGGAAAGTTGTTTTGAACAGAAGCGCCTGCCAAGTGAATTTAATTTAATTTCACTCGCCCGTGCTCGCTTCATTTCTTTAATCATCTCAGGGGTCAACAACATGTTGACTCGGTAGGTAACAACAACCCCGATGCTGCATAGAAAACTGCACAGAAAGTAATTTAGATCTTTTTGGAGGTGTGTTCACGCTTGCATGCAACCATTGACTAAATTCAAATAATCATCTCATCCATTACTTTTTTTTGCTAACTCATTTAGCTGAAGGATTTAACCACTAATTGGATATTAAGGTCTTTTATTTTAAAATAGACCCACCGTGTTCACTGGCGTGGGGGTCCTGGTGTAAACAGGAAGCAGAGGGTTGGTTGCTTAGTTGTAGAAAACGCTCTGGAAGACGACCAGCGATGGCAAAAAAGTACGAGCACAGATTTCCTTCAGTGTACAAACAGCTTCTAGCGTCGACAACAAGGTCAGCAGCGCTTGGAATTCTGTTATCCATGTTCAACTGAAGACCTCCTCTGGTGAAAATCCAGCTTTTTACCTCGTTATCATGTCCATATGGTGGGGTTTTTATACACATCATGAGTTAAATCAGCAGACGACACCATGGCTGAGCGTTTTCACCTCCAAGATGACGCTTTCAAAATCACAGATTCAGACTTCTGGGGCATAAATCACTGAATTAACCCAACACGTCGTAGCGTAGAGTAGCTTCACAGCGTTTGAGCAGAGTCGTAGGTGAGCTGTTGTGCTTGAGCTGCAGCTGGCGGGGCGGGTGCATACCTGATGCAGGGACTTTGACAGCAAGCAGCGGCGTAGAGTTACATGTAAGACATTTTAAGAAGCGACAAAAAACATCTAACTTCGACTCACACAGAGATGAGTTTTTAACCCTTTGTGGGGCACGTGACCATATTTGGTAGCTTCCTCGGATGCTGTAGAAGCCAATAATGTAATAACTGCTGTTTAGCGCACGCAAGAGAAACCTCAGTTTGTCCAAACGTGTCGTCTGTCGGCCTGAGAGTGTGTTTGTACCTCCACCAGGACCTGCTGCATTTAGAGGAAAGACTGGGGACTGTGAACCGAGGAGCCTCTCAGGGAACCATAGAGAGGTGCACTTACCCACACAAGTACAAAAAGGTGAGCAGCGGTCAGCGTGTGTGTGTGTGTGTGTGTGTGTGTTTCTATGTGTACATGCTTGTTTAATAGCCTCTGACGATGCTGTGTATGGTTGTGCATGTTCTGTTACAGTTTATTCTGGGACAGAGTGCGCAGTGGTCTTTTGTGCTCACGTATGCTGTTCTTAGAACCTACTGTAGTTGTCTTTTTTCTACCAGTTGTGAAGTTATTGTTGGGGGAAAGTTTCCTTAGAGGTTTCCAAATGTATCTAAATAAGCAATCTAACACCCTGCCACCCAATACAGAAGGTGTTGGAGAGAGACATTGACCAACAGTTAACCCCTGAAGCTTGGGCATCTATTGGGAAAAATATGCACGCAACCCCAGAATCGGTGAGAAATAATGAACAAATCAATCTGGAAACATGTCTCTGCTCACATGTACAGTAGATGTTAGTGGTAGTCTTGGGGGCCAGGGGATTCGGCTAATAACTTTGATTTGAATAGTTTTGATTTGTTTAGCTTTAGAGACAACACATAGATTTTTTTTTTCTGTTTCAGGACAAAATGACCATTCTCTCTGTCCCCAAATTTAATGGTTTTTGTCGAAGTGTTTTTGTTTTTTTTTATAACATAGCTATACCACTTTATCTTTAACATGATACCTTTAATACTACTTTGTATTTGTAATGTTACCGCAGTGTTTTAGTTGAGCAGTTTTGTGTTTAACAAAGTGAATTAATAGGACTTGTTAACCATCTGCTATCTGCCGATCGATCCAAAGTCACGTCTCCCAACGTTTCTCACGAACAGAGGAAGCTGCACGGTAAGCAGGACGAGGACGAGGGCGCAGACGAAGACACGGAAGAAAAATGCACCATCTGTCTGTCGATACTGGAGGAGGGGGAGGACGTCAGGTAATCGCCGGCCCTCCTGGGCGTCCGGCCCACTTGTTGCATGCCGGTTTTTGCTCCGTTATGCTTTTAAGTCGCGCGCAGACAGGTGGGACGGCAGGTGTGGTTGTTCCATTTTTCCCCCTACTGTCTCGTGAGATGCTTTTTTTTTTTTTCCTTCTTCTTCTCTAAAACCCAAAGGTATTCGAGTAATCAGCAGAAAATCCCAGAGTGCCTTAAAATTACCGGCCTCATGGAGCTGCTTTTTGGCACACGCTCTGGGTTTTAAAGAGGATTTTCTGCCCTCTGTTGGTGTGAAAGGAAGGCATGTTTAAATGCAGTTTTTAGAAATAAATTAAGTTTGTTTGGAACTTATTAATTTTAAACTAATTTAATGTGAATCTAATAACAGCGAGCTTGTCTTCTACTCAGTGAAAGACTGGCAGGAGTCCATGGCATCATCTTGAAAGCAAATTTGACGTCGTAGCTTTAAATGTAGATCAGAGTCTGTACATGAAAACTGAAATATGTGAAGACAAACGACGGATCCTCTGTTTACTGTCTACAAATTCCATGAAAAGACCAAAACCTTAGAAATGTTTTACATTTTTACCCACTTTAGCCCAAAAACAAACCTGAAGGTGACAAACAGAATCTCACAGAAGACACCAAGTACTTCATACAACGTCAGAGAACCTCAGTTATTGGTTTAGATGCAGCTGCTCATGTGGGATTTTAGCTCAAGATTTCTGTCCTCAAAAGCTACAAAACCTGTAAATCAGCGGTCCCCAACCCGTTTTTGCACCACGGACCGGTTTTAAGCAACATTTTCTACAGACCGGTCATCGCGCACATAGAAAAAAATAATTGTTTTTTCTATTTAAAAGTTTCATAAATGAATAAAATTACTTGCTAAGTCCATATTTACTTCTTCTATCTATCTACTTCTTCTGTCTCAGTATCGAGTCTCTTTCCAGAGAAGCTGAGATGTTTGTTCTTTTATTTATTTCGGCAGCGGTTAGACTGACGGCTTCGTTTAACGGCCGAGTGTGAAAACTAATAAGAGTCAAGTGCGAGAAACAAGACGGGCACGATGGGAAGACGAGCTCGTTGTTTTTCAAGATAAAACACCCTGCAGACTCCGCTGGAAATAAAAATAAACCAGTCAAATGTTTTTGTTCTTTCTGTGCGGCCCGGTACCAAATGACCCACGGTCCGGTGCCGGTCCGCAGCCCGGTGGTTGGGGACCACTGCTCTAAAACACCCAGATTCTCCCTCAAGTTTCTAAGCAGTGGCTTGTAGAGATGTCTGAAGATTCTCAGTCATCCAGGTCGTGGTTTTCATCCAGGTCGTCTGCCACAGTGGAGTTCGTTAGGGTCCATAACGGGGTACTAACGACTCGCATAACGAGTGGGAGGAGCAACAAACCCCCAATTGAAACCAAATCTCAGGTGTTAATGGATCCTTTAGGATATAAGTGTCTGGAACTCCCAACTAGTCAGTCAGACCTGATGAAGCCTCTTGGATGAGAGGTGGAACGTCTTCAAGGAACTCAGGCTACGATTAATCCACCAGAATAATGGCTTGTAAATAATCATCTTGTTCAGGACGCAGATTAAAATCAAGTGTTGCAAGTCGATTTGTTAGAATAAAAGTTGTATCTACGTTTTTTTTCCACAAATGGAGAAAAAAAAAAGAGGATCACAAACGTATAGTTTCTTTTATTTTCTTTACCAAAACGTCCAGTAATTTTCCCCCAAACAGCCGACTAACGCGGTTTCAGCTCAAACAGGAGTAAACGCTGCGTTTGTCGGGGACTATTTTCGGCCGTAGATTTGATGCGCCGCTGAGTATTTGGAGCAGCAGGATGATTTATGTGGGATCGTCTCAGAATAAACGTGTTTGTGTTCATGGTAATGAAGGAACATGTCATCCATTGGAAAGGTGTGACTGGTTGTTTTTTTTGTTTCCTCCTCGGAGCAGAGAGCCAAGATTGAGGCATCAGTGCTGTTTGTTTGCCTGTTTTCTCAGGACGATTAAAAAAAAAAACTACCTGCAGGAATGTCTGAACACTTGGTGAGGAGGTGGAGCAGGGAGAAGCCGTTGAGTTTTGGGGCAGATTTTTGTTAAATTTCTGCCCCTCTAGAGCGCTGTGATAGAGACAAATCAAGCCGGGTTGGATTCATTCACTGCACTTTTCATGGGATTTGGTGATAATAGCAGACGTGATCTCTAAACAAACAATTAAGCAGGATGTCGTTACGATTAGAAAACTATCCCGACCAGTTCCAGAGCAAACAGGAAGCAGCTGGTTTCATTGTGTCAGCAGGTTGATTTAAAACATTTGTCTCTCTGTGTCTCTCTCTGCAGACGTCTACCATGTATGCACCTCTTCCATCAGCTGTGTGTGGACCAGTGGCTCCTCACCAATAAGAAGTGCCCCATCTGCAGAGTGGACATTGAGGCGCAGTTGTCTGCCGAGAGTTGATGCTGTTTGTTTTTTTTTTCTTAATAACAACTTCTTTTGTTGAAGATTTTATTTTGAGATCATATTAATTTTCTCTTCAGTACTGCAGTCAACCAAAGATGGCATGAATTACCTGCGCAGCTCTACTACGAGAAAATCGAATAAATTTAAAAATAAAAAAAAGAGACAAAACAAAACAAAACAACAAAAAAAAAGCATCGAGCCTAGAGTGCCAGCTATCACATTATTACTACAACAGCTAGGATTCTCCATTAAGGGTTTAAGATTTTATTGTATTTATAAAAGCTTTTATGTAGCTTTTGATTGTTTCCTCAAGTGTCATTTTCGTTTCTCTGCATGTTTCCTTGCAATGCATTTCTTTGCACATATAACGCGGGCTCCAGGCGGCCCGGCGAGTTGCAGGTGAGGATAGCTGCTCTAGTAAAGACGCATTTCTGTAAACAACCTAATGCCTTGCTTTACTAGAATAGAATGTCAACCTCCAGTTTTGAGAAAAAACAAAAAAGATTTTTTAAAAAAAACAACATTGCAGGATTCATTTTACCAATCATTGTATTGATTAGTTTATGTTTAGAAGATGTGGATTGTTAGTGAAAGATGTTTTTTTTTTTCTTTTCTTTTTTTTAAAGTCAAGACATTCCTAACTAGGGAAATATGTTAACAGATCAGCTGCTGTATTAGTGCACACCCAGTATTTCTAGAGTGGAAATAAAACTCCGATGTTCACCTCACTCCCAGAATATGCACATGCTTTTGCTACACCGTTAACCACCATCCCATGTATTTTAGAGAACAAGAAAAAGAATGTCACGTCCCTCTTTATCTCTCTCTCTCTCTCTCTCTCGACTGTTTTTTCTAACCTGATCGATTGTCGGCAAACTGCTGTGAATCTTTTCTTTCTTTTCTCGTCGGGGAGGTTTCCTTCCTTCCTGCGACGCTTAACTCGGTTTCTGTCGGATGATCTCAGGTCTACACGTGTCTAAAGTAATTTCACACAAGCCTGCAACCTGGGATCATTTTTTTATTATTTTTATTTTTTGGGGGGGTCAATCTGACACTGGCAGTGGCGTTGACTTTTCATTTCCTGTGTGTGTGTTCAGAGGGAAATACACAGCTCAATTTGAGATAAATATTTACTGTTCGTTCTCACTCTTGGAAAACCATTTTAGCCACCCTCCCTTTTTGTCTCTCTGTAGTTGAGCAGCGGCGTCCGTTTAGGCTGCTGCGGACAGAAAAAAAACACTAATACTGTTGACTAACTCACTCGCATAGACTTGCACAAGAGAGAAAAAGGTAGGAGAGTAGTAGTGAATATGTCAGTGCGCCGAGGCCATGTATTTCCACTCTGACGAATATTTAAAAAAAAAAAAAAAATGGAGAAAAAAAAGAAAAACAAAACAAAACAGATATTTTGAATGGAGTGTTGAAATGCAGTACTTAAAGCAGGTATCCATGCATTCATTGACTTAAAGGCACCAGGATCATATTCTGTGGGATTTATATTAGTTTTAAAAAATAATATTAATAAACTTGGATAACTCTTCATCGAGTCCTCTCCTCTTTGAGAACGAGTGAGTGTTGTCGGAGCTGAATGGATGGATTAGAGCTTCCAGAAAGCACAACTTTGTGTATTTAAAGTGTTTTATCCAAACTTTTAACCCATACGACACAGAGAAATGCATCCAATCATCACATTCCAGAAGAATATCTTTGTTAGGACTTTTATTTTGTAGGATGTCTTCTCCTTCACTAAACTGTCTTCTTAGTTGTTTTTTAAGATTACACAATTTCAGTTCAGTTATTTATTTCATAAGATATTTGACATAAATAATTTGAAAGCAAGATTTAACAGAAGACAGAAGAAATGCAGATTAACATCCTTTTTGCTACTTGGTACTGGTTTTAATAGTTAATATTAAATATTTAGTACATAAGAGATAAGCAGATATGTGTTTTTGAGGTGCTGAAAGGTGACTCAGTCGTCACCTCACAGCTAGAAGGTCGCCGGTTCACGTCCCGGTGAGGACACCCGGGATCTTTCTGCGTGGAGTCTCCATGTTCTCCCTGTGCAGCGTGGGTTCTCTCCGGGTTCTCAGTCTTCCTCCCACAGTCCAGAAACATGCTGAGGTTAATTGGTGATTCTAAATTGTCCGTAGGTGTGAATGTGAGTGTGCTTGGTTGTCTGTCTCTAAGTGTAGCCCTGTGATAGACTGGTTACCTGTCCAGGTGAACCTGCCTTCACCCTGAGTCAGCTGGGATAGACTCCAGCCCCCCCATGACCCCAGTGAGGATTAAGCGGGATATAGATGATGGATGGATGGATAGTAAATGGTAGATGGTCTGCGCTTTCATAGCACTTTACAATATGTTTCTCATTCATCCATTCACACACATTCATCTACCAATGGTGACAGAGCTGCCATGCAAGATGCTGCCTGCCACTGGGAGCAACTTCAGGTTCAGCGTCTTGCCCAAGGACACGTCGACTGTGGAGGGGATCGAACCACCATGTGATTGGAGGACAACCAAATGTTGTTGGCTGTAGAGCCTGAGATGTTTCCTGATCTTAGAATTATCGGTGGACCTTTTGTAGGAGTCACATCCCACAGACTGATAACGGTTATAAGCTCAGTTATGTAGTTCGGTTTAATTTTCTACCACTAATTCAGGGCACTTGACATACTGACAGTAAAGTCAAGAGCTTCAATATGATATGACACGGTTCTATCTTTATTAAGCCTCTGTCATTTTGTCACTCTTCTCATTATTTCCTAATTTAGTATAAAAAATTAAATACTAACTGGAAAAAAAAGTCAATCCTGCAAGAAAAAACGGCCAACTGTATTAATAATTACAAAAATAATCGCATGTTAAATGAAGATTGGTTTGTTGGTTTCTGCCTCTGATGAGTAAATAAAACACCTGGTAAAGCAGAAGAACATCTGTCTGGCTTATAAACCAGGTATGAAGGACGACGGTGTTCCATAAATTGACCTAATTCTTTATTTTTAAGCCAAAAAAAAAAAGCATCATAATTTAAAAAAATGGAAAATTTACTGAACTGTTCGGTTGCCTGGAAACAGCCTCTGAGGATAAACAAACTCGCTCCCCTTGAACACAAAGCGAGATAACCGTCAGAGGGACTGAGGTTTTCCATCCTGCACTCAGAGACGAAGGTTAAAACTCATTATGTGGCCACAACAAATGCAGAGAATGGAAACTGAAGCTGGACCAAACAGTTGGACTGTGGAGATGAAAGAGGCCAAATTAATTCAGCTTCTCCTGACATACTACAGGTTTTTATAATGTTATGATGCCACACAGCAGAAGTAGAGACTGAGCGATGCAGAAAGGAAG